TTCGTATTGAAAATGGAACCTCAGCATTTTAATAAGTGATCTAGGATATGACGGGATCGTGGGTACTCGGCGACAGAAAACGATAATAACTGATAAGAGAAGATAAGGGACCTAAGAGAAGCTACCTAGCAGTCAAAATCCTAACTTCTTCGGTATTTACGATGTAGCTTTGACAGCTCAGTACGTTTCATTCGCTATAACGGGATGGTTGAGTAGGGTGAAGGGTGTACAGTATTAAGAACCCAAAAATTTACGCGAATACCGCGAACTCGCGTCTTTTTCGTCTTTTCTCCATAAATCGGTTCAGAGTGGAGTAATTCAAGAGCTGATGATACGGTTAAACTCAGCTCTTCAAGCTCCATAAGCTGTATACTGAAGTTATAATTGCGGTAAATTGATGCAATACTTTCTGATATTTACTGATTTCAGTTGTTCAAAAATGAAAAAGCATCTCAACTGCCGAGCATCTTGAGAAGAAAAAGTCAACCGTAACCGAGTTGAGTATCCCAATTCTATGCACTTAGAAGGGAAGAAGCGAAGAGTTAAATAAACAAACTTCATTTTCAGTACAATCAATCGATCATGAATAAATGATTCGGAGTTTGGAAAAATGATTTTCTGTCGCGACTTTCTACTACTACTACTACTTTCGATACCAACCTGGCCCCTTAACTTCCGTTTTCCTCAGCAGATAGTCGTTTCGCCCATGAGTGCCCTGTCTTGCTCTTATGTTTGCACGTTATGGGGATTTTGCGGATATTCTATGAGGTTACCTCATAGAAGAAGGGCACGTAGGCAATGCGGGAGGTTTCGAGTAGTACGTTGAGTGAAACTAGTAACTTCATGATGAGAATCAGACCTATAATTCTAGAGGCTTGCATTGTATAATATACTCCACGTGGAGGTCCTATAAGGAAGACATCAAGTCTAGCGGTCTCAACAATTCCTGGTTGATCATTGATTAGCGACTGGGATATGTAAAGTTTCTTGTACGTAACCGGCTCAATGGATAGGGATAGAATCACCCTGAATCGTTTTCGCATTTGGAGTTCACTCAAACTTCCGAGCTTTCTGTCTAAAATTTCGGAATATGAACTTCGATCAGGTTAAAAACCAATCAACCCCCACTAGCTGTCTAGAAACACTGGTTCTACTCCCATGGATTATTGTACTTCCTATGGGCGGTTTCATAATCGTCTGAAGGAAGTCAATAGCCACAGATTTGTTGGAGAAAGTATTCATAGAGAGGATAGCTCT